TATTGTTCCTTACCCATTCCTAATAAAAATTCTCAGCAAGCTTGTAATACAAAAATCTGAGTCTAATTTCTTTTTTCTTCTGGAACAGTATTTTCTTACTTTCTTTCTTGGAGATCTCTTGAGTCTCCTCTCTTGAGTCTCAGGTTTATGAGTGCTGAATCATCAGGATAAAATAGGTTTGCAAATAAACAGAAAGCAAAGCAATATACTTTACTACCTTGACTTAACATAGTCATATGCCACTCTCTTTGAGCATTGAGTTTTTCCCATTCCTGAGCCTGGGAGATGAGAGTATGTGTAGGCCAACCTCTGTGCTGGATGCCAGGCCCTCTGTCATCATTAATAAACAGTCACTGGCAGAGCTTCACTTTTCTTGCTCTCTGAGCAGCATGTTCGGAGGCAAAAATGCCGAGAACATTGAAAGCCAGCTGGATAGCCGTGTGATGGCTGTGTCACCTCACTGGGTCTCATCCACTGCCCCTTGATTGCAGACAGTGGGGAACAGAAGAGGAGCCTCCACTCCTGATTGCGCCTCTGCCTGCCTTCTCTTCCGGTCATCATGTGGGACTCGGACAGTAAGCTCCAGATGGTGGCCCTGTGAGCATGGAGCCCATCAGAGTTTCGTCTACTAGTTTTATAGTCTCCTTTTCTGAGCCAATTTATTTGAAGTCTTTATGACACATGATGAGTCACCTTGAGCTCTCCATCCCGGTTAGCTCTTCTCTGGAGAGCTGCTCTCCACGTGTCCCACTTGCCCTGTCTAGCCAGGGGCCTCTTCAGCCAGAATGATCTAAAAATGTACTCAGCTCATGTTGGTCCTCTCTGCCTTCCCTAAAACAATAACCCTTGAATATTTCCTATCAGTCTTAGAGTAATGATTAAAATATTCAGCCTGGCCTATGGGTCCGGCAGGTGCCTTTGCCCACCTAGTTTTTCAGCTCATCTTGGACCATCTACCACCCACTCTCTGGGTCTCAGCCACACTGGCCTTCGTTAGGCCATGTTCCGCTTCTCCATCGACCTTTGCAAATACTGATTCCTCTGACTGGCATGCCTTTCATCACTTCCCTCCTCCTTTACCAGGGAAGGTCTCCCACTCTGTCCACACTTCAATCCAGACATACATTCCTCAGGGAAACCTCCCCTGTTGTCCCCGCCCAGTCAGAGTCCTTGACTGCAAGTTTGCATAGCACTTCTTCAAGTTTTCATTTATTTGAATGGGCTTCAGAAATTAAAATCTTCTCTACTACATTTGATGAGCTCCACGAGGCAAAGACCATGTCTGTTTTTGTTTACTAGGATGTCTCTAATGCCTGGCCTCGAACTTGGTGAAAAGTAAGTGTGCAAATTTTTTGAATGCAAGAATAAAAAAATGACCAGAGATAGCTTGCCCCCTAATCTAGTCTCGAATACATTCTTCATCTCAACTCAGTAAATGTTTATTTCTCTGTTATCAGCAGTAAGGGGGTTGGAGGTAGATATTACCCTATAGACCAGATAAGGTAATACTACTTTATTTCAAAAGTTCTATTTAAAACCATGAGAAACATTATTTAGAAACATGTCCTCTATTGATCTTGTCCTTCCAAAAGAAATTTTGAGAAAAATGAGGGAAAGCAACATTCATTCAACTTTTGCCTGTCTGAAACGTGATTGTAACAAGGAACAAATGCTTCCTGGTCATAGAAAGGAACGCGAGCCACAAAGTATCGGAAGGCACACTGAGCCTGGAGATGTCTGAGGAGAAGCAGGGGCAGGAAGACAACCAGCAAAAGACTTGCATTAATTTAAGAAGTGGAAAAGCTTATTGGAAGCATTCTTCAAAACCCTTCAGAAGCTAGTAAAATAATATTTTACTATGTTTTCTCCAGCTCTTAAAACTTTACAAATGCAAATACATGATAAAATGTGAAAATAAGTATTGGCAACTAATTACATTCTCCGGGGAGATTTAATTGAAAAACAAGCATATTTGCACTGCTTCTCCTTAGTAAGATGTTTATGGCATCTGGTCAAAGTAGAACAAACATTTGAAAATCCTTTGACATAGCTGGTATTTAAAGAATAGCAATTGGCTAACATTTGCGGCTCTGTATGTTGAATATTTTGGCTCCTTTCCTCTGGTATTCATTCTGAAAGATTTATAATCCTTTGGGGAGTGTGGTCTACAAGAGTAGAACTGAATCCTGAAATGTGGAAAAACTAACTTTCCCCAATATAAAACTGTTCTAAAAAAATCTCTCAAGCCTATGAATATGTTTCCAGATTTTCAGAAAAAGCTGATGATTTACAGAATTTTTTTTTCTAGAAGGATCTAACTTCCTCATGATAAATGTAAATTTTCCATCCTTTGGCTTCACAAGTGGCTTAGAGATAAATCAGAAAAATATAACATCTTACCTTTCTGGGCATCTGCTGAAATGACACGGCCCTTTAAAAATTTTATGTCACTGGTTACAATGTATATAATGAAATAAAGCACAAAAGGTAGGAATAATCTAGAAGAGAAAAAGTAAGAAACCTTGAAGTGACATAGGAAACAATGATTGTGCTGAATGTATAAGTAGGAAAATACTACCAAAGAAAACACAGTGCAAGAACAGCAGTCAAGAAGGTCCTTGATCACGCACAACTGAGAATGCTGGGACGGCACTTTCTCCTTCAGAGTCTGACGGGTGTGGGTGGACTCCCTTGGCTTGACTGAGGTATGACATGCTGTTTGACGTCTTCTTGCTTTCAAGCCATTTTGGGGTCTGAAGCCACTGCCTAAAGAACTCTATCTGAAGCTCTTGGTTTGCATTTGCAAACTTTTAATGTGGGAGCCCAGCTCTGTTCCTTCAGGTATCCATCCCAGGGGAGCTTTCTTTTTTTAACCATTTAAATTCAACAAAAGAGCCTTTTAAAATTAATTTTCTCCCTCTCTCTCTTTCTGTCTCTTTTTTTTTTTTTTTTTTTTTTTAACATTTATTTATTTTTGGGACAGAGAGACAGAGCATAAGCGAGGGCAGAGAGAGAAGAGGGAGAACACAGAATGGAAACAGGCTCCAGGCTCTGAACCATCAGCCCAGAGGCCCGGCAGTGGAGACTCGAACTCCGAGGACCAGCGAATCATGACTCTGGCTGGTCGGACGCTTAACCGACTGCGCCACCCAGGCGCCCCACTGTCTCTTTTTTTTAGTGCTTTTTTTCTGTAGTATTTTCTTTAATTATGGTTAGCATTTAGATTATTCTTTATGGTTTATGAAATACCTGGCTTCTGTTTTTAAGTGCTTGTGTGTGTGTGTGGGGGGGTGTCCTGTGCCCCCAAACAAGGGAGATTATAAAACTGAAAGTAATAAATGAAGGATTTACTGCTTTATATTTCAAACCAACGTTAGGAAAATTGGCGGTGTTAAAATTTCTCTTGATATCAAGAAAAAGACATTAGGAGCTGTAAGAACAAAACTTACTATTTTAAATGTAAATAATAAAATGAAGGCTTTTGTCATTGTAAACTTGATCTTGAATATAGTGGACAGCCTGGATTACCCAGAAAGAAAATTAGTATGAAAAGCAGACAATGACAGTGATGTCAACACAGGATAGTGGTTCATAACATTTTTAGAGATGTAGAGGGAGTTTTCTGGAAGGGTAAGAGGAAAGGCTGAAGTCTCAACCTTTCCATCTTTTGGATGCTTAAGTTCTTATAGTTCTATTTCAGCTTCTTATTTTAAAAGCAATACATTTTACTGAATTCACAAGAGGTTTTACATATGTGATAGAAGGAGGGGTTTGGACTGCTTGAATATAATTTCCATTTTTGTGCTAAGTGTATAGACTATATCTCTGTACATTTATATATAATAGATGTAGCAATATAAAGTAATAATTAGCAAACGAGAATAAACATAATTTGTAGGTGTCTTTCCTCAAAAAGGAAAGAAAGGTTTATTTGAGGCCATTGGTACTATGTTTTGAAGTAGAGATCCAAAGCCATCTTTCATGAGCACACTTTACAAAAATGTCTATTCTAACCTCTGTTAGAAATATTGCTTTTGTTATTTGCTCTGTTACAAATATTGCTCCTACAAACTATTTCAGCACTTATACTGGAACTCTTATTTACCTCCTAGTCTTAATAGTGGGAGAAGTAATAGGTACTATGCTGTGTCCTTCAGATGATTTTCAAAGCATTAACGATCAGTGGACATTGCCTAAGAATTCCTGCAGTGAATTCTGATGATAATTTCCTGGCAGGTTTGTTTCACTGATCAATCATTACTTTGTTGTTTAATATCCCAGATTGTTTTACCTTAAAGGAACAGTTCCCCACTACCCTTTACATTTGGTGATCAGCTAAGCAGACGTTGATTGCATGATTCTCTACGTTGGGCCAGTATTTTGCCCATGATACTGAAGGCTTCTTTTTTTCTCCTTCATCAACCCACTGAGTCATCTCCAGTTCTTAATGGAATTGCCTCCTCACTCCCCACCCCACAGCCCTTCCCCGACCTACCGCGGTCCCAGCATGACTGTTATACTGCTTCCCACAGGGTTTCCCTTTCTCCAGAAAGACTGTTCCAGACTGTTCCACATACATCTGTAAGAATAATTTTCAGGCACAGTTTGGATTGCACACTACTCTATTCAAGAACTTATAGGGACTGCCTATTACCTCTACATAAAACTTACATTCCTCAGTCGATCTCTCAAGGCTTGCCCCTTGACTCTATTTAATGTACTAATACCGCCTAATGTCATAGCTGTTTAAAGCAGACAGACCACCTTTAAATGTTGACTCTTAATTGGAATAATGTTTTATGATACTCTGTAAAGCTTTTTCATGCTTCAGCTCTACATGATTCATTTAACAAATTATAACCCACTCAGAGAACTTAAAAAAATTTAATGTGCCGTGTAGGGGGAGACACATTTCCCAGTTCATGGATTCATAACCATTAAGTAAATTTCCATGGAAGCATGACCTTATTTAACCTTTCTATGGCATTGTGTCTTCATAGGGAGGAAATCAGACCGCTACAGTGATCGCACTGTGTTCAATGAAGGATTTCAACTTAGCGCAAGAGACCTGCCAGTTGGCAATCAGGGATGTTGGAGGCCTTGAAGTTTTAATAAATTTGCTTGATACAGATGAAGTCAAATGTAAAGTGAGTGGCTTACCTGACATGGGTGACAAACCTTCTAAACAACTTCTCGTGCTTCTCTTTTTACCAATAGGTGCCTGCTACTTCTGCCTACTTCTTGTCTTTGTCTGCTATTATCACTAATAACTTGCTCCTTGTACTGTTAGCTGCTCTTCGCATCTCTGCCTTTCTTCTTTATCTTCTGGTTCCTTTCCATCAGTATGTGCTTCTTAAATGATGAATGTTTGTTTACATAATTGAGGGACAATAAGGAACATGAGTGTAACACCCGGGAATAGAAAGTATTTCTTTAAAAAACTTCACTGGGGAAGGATTTTAAGTAGACTTGGAATTTTTAAAAAACTTGTGCTGGTTAAACACTTATTTTCACCTCTAACTACTTTTTCTCATTTAGATTGGTTCATTAAAAATCCTGAAGGAAATCAGTCATAATCCTCAAATCAGACGTAATATTGTTGACCTTGGGGGCTTACCAGTTATGGTTAATACACTTGATTCTCCACATAAGAGTCTGAAATGTTTGGCAGCTGAGACAATCGCAAATGTTGCCAAGTTTAGAAGAGCCCGACAGGCAGTGAGACGCTACGGGGGCATCACCAAACTGGTGAGTACTGCTGACATCGTCATCAGCTCACCCTCTGCCACTAAGATGTCAACTCTCTGCTGTCCTTCCTAAAGGATGTTGCCTTTGCTGAGTCTTTTTTTTTTTTTTTTAATTTTTAAAATGTTTTTTTTTATTTTGAGAGAGAGAGAGGGAGAGAGAGAATCTCAGGCAGGCTCTACACTGTCAATGCACAGCCTGACACAGGGTTTGATCTCATGAACTGTGAGATCAAGACCTGAGCTGAAATCGAGTCAGATGCTTAACTGACTGAGCCATCCAGGTACCCAACCTTTGCTCAGTCTTGAAAAGCGAGTAGGTATTTGTCATGCAGACACACCAGGGAAAGGCAGTTCAGGAAGATGAAGCTGTGTTGATAAAAGCCCAGAACTGGAAAACAACAGAGTATTTGGAAACTGCAAGTGGCTAATGTGGCTAGACCTAAGATGAGATGGGCTGGGTAGTAGGAGGTGAAAGTGAGGGACCATGGTGGTCACACAGGGCCTTATCCAAGAGCTGAAGAGTTTAGATTATTTATAGATACTAAGGGAATAACTGTTGGGGACACATGTTTTCAAGCTGTCTGCTCTCTGTTCATCCCATTGTTTTAGAATGAAAAGCCATCTGGGGCGCCTGGGTGGTTCAGTCGGTTAAGCGTCCGACTTCGGCTCAGGTCACGATCTCACAGTTTGTGAGTTTGAGCCCTGCGTTGGGCTCTGTGCTGACAGCTCAGAGCCTGGAGCCTGTTTCAGATTCTGTGTCTCCCTCTCTCTGACCCTCCCCCATTCATGCTCTGTCTCTCTCTGTCTCAAAAATAAATAAACGTTAAAAAAAAAAATTTAGAATGAAAAGCCATCTAAATGTC